TTTTGTCAAGAATTATGCAAACATAGCCTCTCCCCTCACAGATTTGTTAAAGCAAGGAGCCTTTAATTGGAGCGAAGAAGCACAAAAAGCTCTTGATTTCTTAAATATGGCAATGACAAGCACCCCTGTTTTGGTGTTACCCAATTTCAGTCTTCCTTTTGTCCTAGAAACTGATGCCTCCAACTTAAGTATTGGAGCAGTCTTGTTACAACAAAATAGGCCAGTGTCCTTCTTCAGCAAACGCTTGGGACCACGACCGGCTGCAGCCTCTACCTATGTGAGAGAATTAGATGCCATCTGTGAAGCAGTGAAGAGGTGGCGACAATACTTACTTGGAGCTCACTTTACTATTCGGACAGGTCATAGAAGTATCAAAGAACTGTTGGGGCAAACCATTCAAACCATGGAGCAGCAGAAATACTTGTGTAAGTTACTAGGTTATTCATTTAATATTGAATATAAACCTGGTCATTTAAATGTGGTTGCAAATGGATTATCGCGTTGTTTTGAAGAGGAAAGCCTAGCTGTCGTCCATGCTTTAATAGGTGAACCAACCTTTGATTTACCGTCTCGAATTAAAGAAGAAAATGGCAATGATGTATAGTTGAGCTCTCTACACCAGAAAGTAGCAAGTGATCCTGGTTCAGTACCTCAAATTTCGGTGAAAGAAGGGATATTATTTCACAAACAACGTTTTCTGTTGAGTCCCAAATCAAAGCTTATACCAGAAATATTACAAGAAGCTCATGATTCAACATTGGGAGGACATGCTGGGGTACTTCGTTCTTTACTAAGAGCATCATCTTTCTACTGGGACTCAATGCGTAAGGATATAAAAGAATACGTCCGAAATTGCCAAGTGTTCCAACAATTCAAATCTCCAACATCAGCTCCACAAGGACTGCTTCAGCCACTGCCAACACTCGAAGGAGTGTTTGAAGATCTCACATTAGACTTCATTGTGGGACTGCCTTTGTCTCACGGAAATACTTCCATATTGGTCACTGCGGATAGATTGAGTAAGTTTGCTTATTTTGGGGCACTACCTACTTCATTCACAGCTGCCGAGGTAGCGCAACTTTTTTGTGAAATGATTGTTAGGAATCATGGTTTTCCTCGGTCATTAATATCAGACCGTGACAAAAAAATTTTGAGCCAATTCTGGATCAGCTTATTCAAACAGAGTGGCACCATATTGAAGGCCAGTACAGCCTACCATCCTCAAACGGATGGACAAACCGAGGTAACAAATAGATATGTTGAACAATATCTAAGAATTTTTTGTCATGAGAAACCACACACATGGTCCCAATTCCTTTGTTGGGCACAATTTCATTATAATACTGCAGTCCATTCGGCCATTGGCATGTCACCGTTTGAAGCTCTATATGGCAAGAAACCAGTGATGTTGCCTTATTATCCAAGAGGGCTGGTGAAGGTGGAAGCAGTAGACTCATTGCTGCAAGAAAGAAATGAATTATTGAAAGGATTGAAGACGCCTTTGGCTCGAGCTCGCAACAGGATGAAGAGCCATGCGGACAAACATAGACAAGAGAAGGTATTTGAAGTTGGAGATTTTGTGTGGGTGAAGCTCCAACCATACCGCCAAGTTTCTGTGGAAAAGTGATGTAATCACAAGCTAGGGAAACGTTTCTTTGGCCCTTTCAGAATCACCAAAGTCATCAGCTCAGTGGCTTACCAGCTCGAACTCCCAGAAGGATGCAAAATACACTCCATGTTCCATGTATCATTGCTTAAACCATGGTTTGGTACTAGCTCTCCCAAGCCAGTATATGTCCCCAAGTTGTCAGTGGATAACAGACCGATACAGGTACCAATATCTATTCTCTCTTCACGGATGACAGCAGCTCACGGTCAACAACAGAGAGAATTCCTCATACAGTGGTCCGAATCACCACCAGAAGATGCATCTTGGGAACAAGAACAGTACTTGCGATTGGCACATCCAGAGATCAACCTTGAGGACAAGGTTGTTGTTAAAGAGGAGGCATATGATACGCACAAGGACACAAGAAGCAGTGAGTCAAAGAAAATAACCAGAGAAAGGATTCCCTCATCAAGGCTTCAAAATTACAAAAGTCAATACAAAGGGGAAAGGTTATACTTACAACCTATTTTTGTTTACAACATTTTACAACCATATCTTAACCGTTGATTTCCGTCAATCAACGGTTATCATTCATTGCAAATTAAATATTAATTAATGAATTTGAATTGCAAAAATAATAACCATTGATTGACGGAAATCAACGGTTAAGATATGATTGTAAAAGGTTGTAAATAAAAATAGGTTGTAAGTATAATCTTCCCTATAAAAAAAATAACAAAGAAATGCAATGAAATTAATAAAAAAAAGTAAAACCTAATATAATTTTCTCAATCAATAAAACATAATATAATTTTTAACAAACATTCAAAATTACTAAACAACAACTTTTCACATATCTAATGGGTTGAAAATTATTTTCTTCATTTGATATCAAAGCTATGCATATATGATTATAAGACCCAATTTTTTTTAATTATAAAAATAATTCTAAATTTGCATATAGAACCTAAAGTTCATGATAAAATTTCGTTTGGAATTTTTTGCAATTGATCTTGTAAATCTTGAAATTTTTGGAATTTTCTAACCATATATCATATGCATATTTTCATTGAATATTCTAAGAAAATTTCGAATCTGAAACTTTGGGTTTAATTACATGAAAGTTTTGAAAATTTCTCAAATTTTTTTCAATCGATACATTGAAACCTTAAATTGCTTTGGGACTTTTGAGAAACAAGCTTTTAGTTATCTATTGACACTAAAATTGTTTGAAATTATTTCCTATAGTGAAGGAATTTCGTTTATGAATGTATTGTTACGAAATATAGGATTCATATTATGAAAGTTTCAATCTTTCCTTAAATTGATATTGTTTCATTTATGTAAAACGAAAATTGGTTTGGGGTTTTTAGTTTCCCTGTTATTTTTCACTGTTTTATGTTGTTTTTAATACAAAAATCACACGTTTTCATGCCAAGAAAAATCGTGACCCATAGCTTGAAAAATCACTTTTTAAACTTCCAAAATTTCTCAAAAATATATTATTTTTGAGATAGATTATATTAAAATCTCGTTGGTTTGTTGTTTCTGAGTTGTTTTGTGATGAAAATAACTAAAAAATATGCTGTTTTTTTTACTAAACTCTCACAAAATTCACACCAATAGAAAATTCATTAAAATCGTCGGATTTTTGAATACCACGAGATTATGATTCCATTGTTTAAAATCATGATTGAATACCAACGGATTTGGACGGATTCTAAAATAATCTTTTAAAATCCTAATCGAATACCAAGTTTTTTTTTCAATCCATTAAAATTCTAATCGAATACCGACAGATTTTTTTGGCAAAAAACAATCCATTAAAATCTTTGAAATCTCAATCCAATACACTCCTAAGATGTAATGAATGTCCGAACTCTGTTTACGGCAAGAGCAAACATTGTCCCAACTATTCTTTTTGTTGATGAGGTTGATAGCATCCTTGGGCAAAACCTGCAGATAAAAAATGGACCAATAATTTCGAATGAGACAATGGTGAAGATTAAAAATGGATGTCCGAGCTCTGTTTACGGATGTAATGAATGTCTTGTTTACGGATGTAATTAATGTCTGAGCTCTTTTTACAGTAGCAGCAAACATTGCCCCAACTATTACTCTTGTTCATGAGGTTGATAGCATCCTTGGGCAAAACCTGCAGATAAAAAATGAACCAATAATTTCGAAGGAGACAATGATGAAGATTAAAAATGGATGTCCGAGCTCTGTTTACGGATGTAATGAATGTCTTGTATACGGATGTAATTAATGTCCGAGCTATGTTTACAGTAGCAGCAAACATTGCCCCATCTATTACTCTTGTTGATGAGGTTGATAGCATCCTTGGGCAAAACCTGCAGATCAAAAATGGACCAATAATTCCAAATGAGGCAATGATGAAGATTAAAAATGAATTCATTTTCCAATGGGATGAGCTAATGACAAAACCTAGTAAACAAAAGATGAATAGAAATAAGGAAAACATACAAGGCAAGTTTATATCACAAAGGTTTCTACTACTTTTGCTTGTTTTGTAGTCAACAGCATCACCATTTCACGTTTATTTGGAGGAGCCCTGTTAAATAGGAGACTGAGATCTGGGATGTTCGGTTGGTTGTTGAAATCGCCACACATGCCGTATGGGGGAGTGAGATATGGGATCTTCAGTTGGTTGTTGAAATCGTGAGCCATGCCGTATGTGGGACTGAGATCTGGGATCTTCAGTTGGTTGTTGAAATGTCACGCATGTCGTATGGGGGACTGATATTTGGGATCTGGTTGTTGAAATCGTGAGTCATGCCGTATGGGAGACTAAAATCTGGGATCTTACATAATTTTGAAATAGAAAAGTATATTGAGATTTATTGTATCGATTTTATTAATTAATTTTTATTTATTAATTATTTTAATAAATTATAATCGTTAAATTGATGAAAAAATAACTATGATCAAATTAAGAGTTTTATAAAAGTCATGTTGTAGGTAAAGTGAACTGGTCAATGTTATAGAGATTCGTATTCCGTCTTAATTTTTTTTTTTTTGGTTCAAAAAATATGAGGCCCAGAAAATATTATATACGTAGGAAATTCTTTTTTTTTCCCTATTACATGATAGATACAAACCCCATAAATTAACTGTAAGAATGATAAATTGTTGCAATAGTAAATATATCGTGTCCCATATTAGAAATAGAATAAAATAACATCCGAGCAAATAAAAACTTTGCCAAAGAGAGATAAAAAGAAAGTTTATTTGTCATATACAAATTTGTCATATACAATTTGTCATAACTGAAAATTCCTTCTTCCATGGCAGCATTGACAAAGATATTTATGTTTAAAAGAAATAAGGGGACTGCTTTTTCATCCTTGAACCTCCTAGTCTATATAAATCATTCCACTGCTCCAGCTCTTCCATAGTTGATCCTTGTATCAATACCTGCAGCTACCTGCATTTTTACACTTACATCTATCAATTTCTATGCATGAAAAAATTAAGCTTGAAATCCTTGACTGAATGTATAATTTCAAAGTTTACATGGAAAACAAAAAAAAAGGACTATTGAGCCATTTTATCATCTCCTATAACAATTATTAGATTAACTTGATCTCAATAACTAATCCGGATATTTGTTGCCATCTTGAACCCTTGGGTAATAAGTTACTTTATTCCTCCTGCAAAGGCACAAGGTAACTAATAAAACATGGCAATATAGACATTGATGAATTAAAAGCAGGGTTAATTGAAATTCATAGAATGACTCCAAATGTGAATGTTTGATTGCTTGTATATCTGATATAACTGCCAGCTTTTGCTACTAAATTTATAGAAAACCAAAGGTTAATGATTTTCAGTCCAACATACCAGACTCTTTGCTTGTCTCATGTCTTCCATGTTTATAGGCCTCGGGGTAATCACTTTGTAACGCCCCGTTCTAGAACCGGTTTGTTAACATCGCCTTATGATATTAAGCGCAGTTACAATCACATGGTTCAATTAAAATCCGGTTGAAATTTTCTTTTTAAAACATGTCGAACTTAAGATAACCAAGTGCGTGATCATAACCGTATTACGTTGCGGAATAAAAATAACTAAACTTAACATCATACTCTTATATCCTTAGACCAAAAGTTACTAAATGTCTTCTTCTAATCATTAGCTACGCGTGGCTTCGAATCGCGCCTCGTTTGGAGCACTGTAGCTCAAGTTATGACAATTTGAAGCAACACAATAGGGTGTTGAACACAGGCCCCGCGCGCTTCAGTGCGCTACCGGACGCTCAAGCGCGCGTTATCGGGTGCTAAATCCTCCATCTGGGCGCTTAAGCGCACAGAGGCAGAAAGCATCAGGTCTTTCAGTGTAGATGGGCGCTTCAGCGCGCACCAGGGCGCTCAAGCGCGCTATCCTGGACGCTTAAGCCCTCATTTGGGACGTTTTAGCGCGCAGAGGCAGAAGCATCTCCTCCTTCAGCGGCTAAGGGCGCTCAAGCGCGAACCAGGGCGCTCAAGCACGCAACCCTGGGCGCTTAAGCCCCCACTCTGGGCGCTCCAGCGCGAGGAGGCAGAGAACATTGGCTCTCACAGGGGCAGCAGGGCGCTTGAGCGCGCTCCTGGGCGCTTGAGCGTGCTGCCAGGGAATTCTCCCTCTCTCATTTCTCAAGTCCCAACCTAGGGGAAATGGCATCCTCATGACAAGCCTCAATGGTTCATGCCTCATAACTTAACCCTAGCACTTATCCAACCTCTCCTCAGGGATTATACTAAATTTTGGGCAGCATAACCTTTGTTTTCTCAACATTTCCCAATTTAGCAATAGGTACCTAATATAATTTCCAGCTCAACACTCCAATACATAAAGAGCACGCATATAATGAACTTAAGGTAATCATCAATTACAAATCATGTTCATTACAATTCATGGAACTTAGCTTACAAAACACTATGATCACTCCCTTGGCTCCCATCAACAAAGAGATAACCAAAGGCAGGAGCATAGGCTAAGTCCATTCCAAATAAACAGAACATACATCTATCAATTGTCTATTAATTACAATCCTATACATGTGAGCTACAAAACAACATGTATAATATCAAAATACAGGATCCTCATGCATCACTACTAGTCCAAGTATGGCCACTTGCCACTGGTGGCTCCTGCAGCATCCTTACCTGAAAGGGGGTCCCCGCAACACGGGGTGAGATATACGAATATATCCAGTAAACCAGGGGTCCTTGGAGCATCTCTCCACCCCACAGTTCCATATCAGTGTAATAGCAATAACAATAATAATGCAGTAAATACATATCTATGCAAAGTGCAATAACATCTCCAGGAGAAATCCCTCGAGCTCTCAAGCTGTCCTAAGGAAACTCAGATGCAAATAGTCCTACTGGCCAGCTAAACTACCAAGTATGATTTACGCATCGTTATGCAACATACCAACATAGGGAAACACCATCATATGCCACACCAAATGCATATACATACGTATAACAAAGCATTACACTATTTCATTGCATTTATATACACTATAACTACCACTACCCTTTCAGGGCTTGGTGGAACAATCAAGGGAATTACACCCAAGGTCCGAAGGCTTACCTCAAAGCTTCAGTTCAACCTTTGTTCACCACCAACAGGTTCAGCAACCAATTAACTTTGGTTTCAACAATGACTTACAAGTAACACACCTACACCAGGGTGCCATAACATCAATCATACTATCCAATGAATATTTACTTATATCCATTACTACCCCATCAACTCCACATATTAACTTAGCATGGGCTTACCTATTCCAAAGAGCTAATCAAGCTCCATAGCTTGTTCCAATGGTTGATCACTCACGGTTGGTCCAAATGTCTCGATCCTAGACATCACAAGGACACAATCATCAATCAACCAAGCCAAACCATTGATCATAATTGCAAGAAAACTCACAACCAAGTATCATATTCTTGCAATATACAAAGTATAGTCATATAACTATCTAAGCTCATTTTCACTGATTAAATGCCATTACTAACATTTCTCATAACATACGCTAAGCTCTAATACTCCTAGAACATAGCCAATCTATCAACATTTCATAAAAACCCTAAAACACTATTCATTAAACCCTAGATCATGCAATTTCAATGGATTATGGGGTTCAAGGAGTAGAATCTTACCACCAATGGTCACACAACCAAGGATTGATGGCTCCTCAAGCTCCAATGGAGGTTGAAGCTCCCAAAACCCCAAACTCTCACAAAGGGGCGAAACTTTGAGAGGAAAAATCTCACAACACAACACTCCCCACTAAGAACCAAGCTTGGATTAATGATGAGGGCGAGATTCTAAGTGATTTAGGCTTTTGAATCACTCCAATCGGCCTCCCTTCTTCTCCTTCCCCCCTTCTCTCTCTTTTCCTTTCTTCCTTTCCTCTTCTCTGTTTGCTCGACGGGTTGGGTGGGAAGAGGGGGTTCTTTTGTGTTGTTTTATCACTTAACACATGTTAAGTGGAATAATGCAGGTATTAGTTCATCTATCTATTCAACTCCATTAATTACCAAATTTTACCCAAAAGTCTAGAATATTTTTCTAGGAATATTTCCACTTTTATTTTTATATTTTGGGTACTTTTGACTACACCCATTTATATCCCTTAAGGAGTACACTTTTTAACTCCAAAGTGACTCAAATTCATTTAATTAAGCCTTATACTTAATTTTACTCACAAAAACATGCTTAATTATTTAATTACATGTAATTTGCTATTAATTGAGTTAGGGCTATTATACACTTGGTCTTCTTTTATCTTTTGTATAGCACTTGAAGCATTTTCTGACCTTCGAACTTCTGCCTCCGTTTTCTTCTTTTCCTGAAATAAGTTGCAGTGGAGATTACTTAGCTAGACAGCAAATAACAATTACGCATTAAATAGTGATTATTAGAAGTGATTTGGTATCTACAATTGCCTTCAACATCTCCGGCCCAAAAAAACTCCCTAACAGGTCCATATGTTCTGAACAAATTCTGTTTACAGAAAATCATTGCCACTAACTAGAAGGAATTAGAGTAACCAACAAAATGAACCTTAAAATGAATTCCCCCATATCTTTGTGTCATGGTTGAAGGCAGCTCTTTGAAGTCTAAATTTTCTTGTTTTCTCTTGGCAGATGAAGGACCAACCATGATCCTGCTCAACATTGAAATGAACAGAGATGTCATTGATAAATATAAAAAAAAATAGTTTGTATTATATCCAGAAACCAAACCCTGCACGAAATCTCTGTTTATTATAAACTTTATTGTTTCGTTATGAGCAATATGATGAAGATAACAAGGCTTGTCATTGTTTTAATTAAGAAAATATTGCAACTGAACACAAGTAATAGATAATCATGCCAACCACAAGACAAAAGGGTGGTCCTACCTGAGTTGAAACCGATCTATAATTGCTTGATCAAGGTCAAATGGACTTTTTGTTGAAGCAATAACCATAGTTTGCGCACCAGATAGCGTCAATAGCTCATCCCAGTAGACCATGAATTCATTTTGAATCGTGCTCTCATCAAGAAAAATAATAGTTGGGCCAACCTTTGCTGCTAAAGTAAACAGAGATCGGAGATTCCTTTGGTTAAAATATGTTGGAGTGATGGTAGACATTGAGACAAGAATGAAACTTGCTCTAGCTTCATTTGCCATTGCCTTTGCCAGCATTTTTTTTTGTGTACCAAAAGGCCCTGAAAGCAATATACGGTTCCAAGGATTCACAAGCCCATCTTCGAATAGTTCTGGTCTTCTAAGGGCAAAAACCATGGCCACTTGAAGTGTTCTTTTAATATCATCAGATACATCAGCATCTGCAACTGTAAACCCTTTCTCATTTGCATCTATAACATCGTATATTATGCACTTCTCAAACACATTGTTAGGAGGAACTTCCTGCAAGCAATAGCATGCAAAAATTGATTGTAACAAAAGATGAATAAAAATAAGGAAAACATACAAGGCAAGTTTATATCACAAAGGTTTCTACTACTTTTGCTTGTTGTCTGCCCACGTTGTTTTTTGCTTTGAGTGCGTTTTCATTAACCTTGGCCGAATTCTCATATTTTGTAGTCAGCAGCATCAGCATTTCACGTTTATTTGGAGGAGCCATGTTAAATGGGAGCCTGAGATCCATGTTAAATGTGGGCCTGAAATCTGGGATCTTCAGTTGGCTGTTGAAATCATGAGCCATGCCGTATGGGGGCCTGAGATCTGGGATCTTCGGTTGGCTGTTGAAATCGGGAGCCATGCCGTATGGGGCCCTGAGATCTGGCATCTTCAGTTGGCTGTTGAAATCGCCAGCCATGTCGTATGGGGGATCCATGTTAAAGATGGGCCTGAGATCCATGTTAAATGTGGGCGTGAAATCTGGGATCTTCAGTTGGCTGTTGAAATTGTGAGCCACATGCCGTATGGGGGCCTGAGATCTGGGATCTTCGATTGGCTGTTGAAATCGAGAGCCATGTCGTATGGGGGCCTGAGATCTGGGATCTTCAGTTGGCTGTTGAAATCGCGAGCCATGCCGTATGGGGGATCCATGTTAAATATGGGCTTGGGATCCATGTTAAATATGGGCTTGAGATCCATGTTAAATGTGGGCCTGAAATCTGGGATCTTCAGTTGCTGTTGAATTCGTGAGCCATGCCGTATGGGGGCCTGAGATCTGGGATCTTCGGTTGGCTGTTGAAATCGGGAGCCATGCCGTATGGGGGCATGAGATCTGGGATCTTCAGTTGGCTGTTGAAATCGGGAGCCATGCCGTATGGGGGCATGAGATCTGGGATCTTCAGTTGGTTGTTGAAATCGCGAGTCATGCCGTATGGGGGAGCGAGATCTGGGATCTTTGGTTCGTTGTTGAAATCGCGAGCCATGCCGTATGGGGGACTGAGATCTGGGATCTTCAGTTGGTCGTTGAAATCTGCCATGGCTGATGTTGTATTAGCGTTCAGGACCTTTAGGTTTTTGGTTTAAGGAAGCGTTTTTTTTTTTGGTTCGGAGCAAACTTAGGGTTTGTGATCTTCAAAACGTATATATAGAAGTAAGATAGAAGAATTGGTATGTAGGTGTAAATACAATAGAGTTATTAAATAGGCCAGATCTCTGGCCAAAAAAATTAATTTATTGTTTTTTAAATAAAAAATTATGAAATTTTGACAGTTTTGGAAATAATTATATATTTATGGTACAATATCACGTTCAATTTGAGCGTCGTCAATCACGCGATTCACGCCTAAATTAAGCGTCACTCAAGAGGCAATCACGCCTAATTTAGACGTCACTCAAGAGGCAATCACGCCTAATTTATACGTCACTTATCAGGTGTTGACACGTGTCACAAAAAATCAACAATTTAATAGTAAAAACTCAGAAGGCCATAACTTTTGACTCAGGTATCTGAATCATGTAATTTTTTTTGATTCCATATAACTTTTCGAGATCTACGTAATGACGCCTCATTTGACATATTTTATCTCTCACAAACATAATTTGAATTATGCAACAATGAGACTTTATCTTATAAGTTGTGGTCTGAAATTAATGATGGTACCAAAGTGGATTAACGGAAATTATAATTAATTAATGAATTATAATCATTAGATTGTGACCCAATAAATTAATAATTAATTAATAAGTGTGACCCAATAAATTATAATCGCTAGATTGACAGAAATTAACGGTTGTTAATATTTAGTAGTAACAAGTAATAAGAAAAAAAGGTAGTAATTATAACATTTCTCTTATTTATTTCTATAACAGCAGGATAAAATGTAGTAAAAAGATCAGTAAAATTAATAAGTTATATAATTTGTATGAATCATTAAATATAAATAGAATAATAATGAAGGTAAGAGTTCTTATTTTCATATTGGTATAAATTGCCATCATTAATTTCAGACCACGACTTTTAAGATAAAGTCTCATTGTTGCAAATTCAAATTGTGTTTGGGAACATAATAAAATATGCCAAATGAGGTGTCATTGCGTAGATCTCAAAAAGTTATGTGGAATCAAATTTTTTTTTACCTGAATCGGATACCCGAGTCAAAAGTTATGGCCTTCAGAAGTTTAAGATTAAATTGTTAATTTTTTATGACACGTGTCAACACTTCATGAGTGAGGCCTAAATCAAGCGTGATTGCCTCTTGAGTGAAGCCCAATTAAGGCGTGATTGGTGACGCCCAAATTGAGCGTGATATTAGGAAATAAATGTGTAATTATTTCCAAAACTGTCATAATTTTTTATTTAAAATACAATATATCAATTGTTTTGCCCAGATCTCTGTTAAAAAATATGAGTTGATACAAAAAAATTATTCTACTAAATCGAATGTTTGGTGAATTGAATTGAATTGAATTGCATTTAATATAGTCAAATATGTTACTATTTAAGTAAAAACATATGTCATTTCTTATTTGTTTTTTGCATTTAAATTTAATATTTTTTTTTAACAACTATACACATATTTTTAAAATTTTAAATTTTTTTTTTTTTTTTTTGTAAATAATATTTTTATTTATTTTCTTTTATAGTATAAATATGTCATTTCTTATTTATTTTTTCCATTTTAATTTGATATATTTTTATTTTTTAACAACTATACACATATTTTAAAATTTTTAAATATTTTTTCATTTGATTTATATTTTATATTAAATTTAAATTTAGTCTATATATATGTTCACACTACATGTCATTTGAAAACTTTCCTCCTTTAGTAAATAGTTGAAATTAAAAAATAAAAAATTTAATCTACAAATCAAAATAAAATAAATGGAAATTTAAGTGAACAATTTGTGGTAGTAGACAACTCATTCAATGTCTCACTACTTTTTACATTGGAATTTTCAAATTAATAATAACTCAATTCTTTTAAATTTAGAATTTATGTTTAAATTTAAATTTTGAATCTGAATTTTTAACGGCCGGTTCAACCGGGATACCGGTGAACCCGACATGTGACCAGTCTGAGCAACACATCAGACCGGACAAGCATCCAAACCGGTAAAAACCGGAACAGCTCGGCGGATTTAAACGAAAACCAGTGACTCTCAACTCGCATTGAACCGGCGCTTAAAGCTAACACGACGTTTTGCTTTTCTGTTCCTCAAATGGCTTATAAATAATATGTTTTGTCGTATTTTAGTCGATGTGGCACATGAATGAATAGGATTGTTACTCATCAGGAAGTTGGCTTCTCGGTTTCTCAAGGAGATTGGGGTCTACACCTCATTGAGAGCTAAACTTTGAGACTTTGTACACGGTATAGAGTTATATCATATGTGTCTGGCACCTTTTATTTTATGTGTTAATGATTAGAAACCCATCAACAAACCTCCAAAACAGAAGCAACTAATTAACTTAAGAAAAAAATGAATGAATGAAATGTATGGTGGTGGGTCAGACTCAGAAGTTGCAGCCACAACAAAGGTAGAAGAAGCAGAAGGTGAAAACAAGGACTACAACCTCTGCCACAGAGATTGTCTTGAAAATGACGGTGTCCATGATGGTCATTTGAAGATCCAATCATTTCCACTGAAACACAGAAAAACTCCTACGGTCCTACCTCACCTTCTTCAACGAGCTGTTCTTCATTTTTGTATTGTACCTTTGTAATTATTTCTCATAAAACTAAGTTATATATTTATTGATAGTTTAAACTTTAAAGTCTATTATTGATAATTATTTTATGTGAATTTTTATTAATATAAGTAATATTTTTATATTTTTATATTTTTAATATGTGAACAGTAGATCCGGTTGAACCCGGTTGAACCAGTGACCCAGTACCTCGTCCGATTCAATGACCGGTCCGAGTTTTAAAACATTGGTTAGAACTATTAATGCTGCATAAAAAAACAAAAACATTAAAAAAAAATTGTAAAATAACAAAATTATTTATATTGTAAAATAAATTCAAAATTTGGAAATAAATTAAATGAAAAATTATGTGAATAATTTTTAGTGGCAGACAACTCATTTAATATCACATTTCTTTCTACATTGAAAATTTCAAATTAATAATAACTCAACTCTTTTAAATTTCGAATTTATGTTTGAATTTGAATTTTTAACTTTGTAATGGTGGGAAAATTTTTGGTGGCAGGCAACTCATTTAATGTCTCACTACTTTTCTTTTGTTGCATGTTATGAGTAAAAAAGATCTCTATTTTTCTTTTGTTGTACATCCCACTATTTTTTGCATGGGAAATTGTTAGCCCTATTAATGCTGTATAAAAAACAAAAACATTAAAAAAAAATTGTGAAATAAAATAATTATTTATATTGTAAAATAAATTCGTAATTTAGAAATAAATTAAATAGAAAATTAAGTGAACAATTTGTGGTGGCACACAACTCATTAATATCACATTTCTTTGTACATTGAAATTTCCAAATTAATAATAACTCAACTCTTTTAAATTTTGAATTTATGTTTAAATTTGAATTTTTAACTTTGTAATGGTAAGAAAATTTTTGGAAATTTTTTTGTGGCAGATAACTCATTTAATGTCCCACTACTTTTCTTTTATTGTATGTTATGAGTAAAAAAGATCTTTATTTTTGTTGTTGTTGTAAATCCTACTATTTTTTGCTTGGATAATTGTTAGCCCTATTGATGTTGTATAAAAAAACAAAAACATTAAAAAAAATTGTGAAATAACAAAATTATTTATATTGTAAAATAAATTTGAAATTTGGAAATAAATTAAATGGAAAATTAAGTGAACAATTTGTGGTGGCAGACAACTCATTCAATGTCCCACTGCTTTCTACATTGAAATTTTCAAATTAATAATAACTCAATTCTTTTAAATTTCGAATTTATGTTTAATTTAAATTTTGAAATTGAATTTTTAACTTTGTAATGGTGGAAAACTTTTGGAAAATTTTTGGTGGCAGAGAGCTCATATATCGCAGTGATTCCAAATCATCCCGTTAACTTTGTTCTACAACAAAGCTGCATAAAAAAAACAAAAATATTACATGTTCATGTAATTGAACAACAATTTGAGAAGATGAAGAATATAAACAGACAGAGAAGAGAAGAAATATGTGCAGAGGAGCTCATTACCAAATGAAAAAATCCAATAACACATATCTTATTTATACACAAAATATTTGCATTTTTTTAGAAAATATTTTTTTTAATGATTATTTTTGAACAAAATAGTTTTTTTTATGCAGCATTGATATGGTTAACAGATACCCATATAGAAAGTAATGGGATAATAAATAAGCTGTCTGCCACCAATAATTGTTCAAATGTTTTTCCACCATTACAAAGTTTAAAATTCAAAATTCAA